TGCTGAGCATGGTTCAGATCAAATTGTGTCCTTAAAGGCTCCTGGAAGGGTCCAGGGTTGTGAGCCCCAGACAAGAGGCGCATGGATTTGCCTGTGCGGGGATTTGTTTGCAGGAGGGGAAGGCAGTATCAGCTGCAGGGCCGGAGTTTGTAATTTACCTCACTGCCCCAGCTGGGGGAGAGTTTCGTCCCCTCTTCTCAGAGCTGTGCCCGGAAACAATATTTGCTGATATTGGCTTAACATCCCAAGGGGGGAAATTACTACGAAATGTTTACAAGGACCATTTGAAACCTGAGAAGAGGATGTTTTTAGTAATGGGGAAAGAGCCAAATACCTTAGAAGAGAGATATTCCAGCTTTAAGAATTAATTACTCATTCCCCATAATGCAGGTTGACAAACAACCTTGCGCAATTGTCTGGACAGATACATTTTAACGGCAATATTGTGCACAGATCAAGAGCAAAATACAGTTCCCTGAACTGTGGCCCTGCAAGCCCAGGGAACACGGGCAGATGCCTTTGGCCAAACACTTATCTGGCAAAGCCCAGAGGACGAGGCACGGGGCTAAAGCAGCCACCTCTATGAGGGGAGCCACCTCACTCACCATGAGGTCCTCTGGGTGAGGATTTCTCCTATGGGTGGTTATTTCCAGTCAAGGAAAGGAAACATGGATAGCAAACAACTAAATGCATTTTTAAAAACCGCAGCTGTAACATCTATGGAGCTCTATAATCACTATGGGAACTTTACTGCATAGCTTTTCAGTTGTAAATCAAGTATCATAGGCCAGTGAAATGGATTCTTAATTTCTATATCCTATTTTTTCTTTTGGCAGTGTGGGAAGATAGTATGTGACTGATTGTGCCCCACAACGTACGCTGGCATAACAAGTCACAATATATATTAATGCTTCTTTCAATCAAGAGCATCAAGCAATGAATGTAGTAAGAAAACCTCATAAACCAGTTATCTCAGAACCATTTTCAATAAAAAGAGGAGAGCGTAGAAGAGCAAGTCTGAGAATCAATGGGGTGCTCTGGAAGTCTGAATTGTCGCTAATTACCCAAACCCCAAGCTGACCTGCTCTTTTGTGAACCATGCTGTAACTGATAATAAGCTTTTCAGGGGTGTCACTCTGAAGGTCTCTCAGAAAGACAGCTCTTTGGAGGATTGCATGTACCTCAGTGCAGTGGTGCAATGACAGCATCAGCCCCGGAGATATTGCTCCTACAAGGACAACTGGGTCGGATCCTGGGTCTAGGAGCAACGGAAGAGAGCCTGCTGTCTTACTAGTGTGAATGACCAATGGTCACATACCAAGTGTAAACTGCTGCAGAAGTTTAACTTTCCCTAAAGGACTTTATTCTGAACCTATTCAGATCTTCCTAAATAAAGACCAACTCCACCAAAAGCTACTGAAGTCCCCCAGAATTAAAATTGGTTTATAGGGGGTCCAGGCATGAGATGCAGGTTTGTTTCTAGTCTTCCCTCCAAGCCTCAACCGCTTTTTCTCCCTGTCTGAAGCTGGAACCCAGTTCTTGCTCACAGCGTGAACACAGTCCTTTTTGTCCATGCTCCATCTTGTCCACAGCCCTTCATATGAACAAACCACAGGAATACAGCATGGACCTGCACCTCTGATCATTGCATGTGCTGATAGCCAGATCCCTGCCAAGAGGCAACGAGGAAGCAGCCTGGGTCCCTGCTCTGCAGGGCAGAAAGCAAGGGGACATCCATAAAACCTTCTGAAGAAAACATCCCTATCTCTGTCTAGGGGTTTGTGGCTCTTGAACTGAAGCACACAGAACAGGTTGATGGCAGGAGCTATTTGAAAATTCATGAAGTCTTAAAGCATTACCGGATTATTTCAGTGCTGGGAGATAACTAGACAAAATAGCCCAACAGGGGGGAGATGCTGATGTAGTAGCAGCCATAATAGTGTGTGATGCCGCACACGTTCCTGCTTCTGAAAACCCACTCATCCATCTTGTCAGGGGAAATTGTTGTGATTCTATTTCATAGAATGGTGGTGGGAGGAAGGAGGCAGACACATATTTTCCTCTAATCAAGGAGAAAGGCCAGGCCATGCCCCACTTACCCTCCTGAAACTGCTCTGGCCACCCGGTGAAGGTCTTAGAGACTGGTGATGGCAAGTATTCGGTAGGGAGGGCATGAGTGACCATGGCCCAAGAGAAACAAGGCTTTGGAGCTCCTCTGCTAGCACTTGAGAGATGCTTTTTCCTCCCTGCCCCGGTGTACCCCTCTTTGTCCGCTCACCCAGGACTGAAGGAAATGATGGGGCAAAATGAGCTGAGCACCAGTGGGCTCCACCTGTGCTTTGCATGTCAGCTCAGGGTCGCACGGGCCAAAATCTTCTGGGTGATGGTAAGTCTGTGCCAGCTGGAGCAAATTCTGACAAACAGCTTAAATGCTTAATTTATGTACCTGTACCCAAAAGCATTATCCAGGATGCCCCAGCTCAGCTGCTGCCTTGGACTGGAGGCAGGTCAGAGCAGTCTTCCCCCCCCCCCCCCCCTCCCCCGCCGCAGGCGTGCTTTAGCCAGCAAGATTCCCCATTACATCCCTAAGGGGCCTCATCCTGCTCCTGACACACATCCAAGCCAGCCCGATAGCGTGGGGAAGGGGTGGGGGGATTTGCACCTCCACCTGAACGTGGGTGCCTAAGTAATGAGGAGCTCCTCTTTAGGTTCTCCCCATAGGAGAGAGATGGAGAAAATCACTGTATTTATCCCCCTGCCCCTCCTGCTCATCTCTCCCCATCATGTCTCTGGCACCCTCCTGCCCAAACTCTCCCCCTGTACCACCATACAGCCAGGACAGCTGCCGGTGGCTTTTAAAGGCTCACAGGGGGGCAGCAGGAGACACCAGAGGGTTATGCCTATTGCTTTTTTTTGCCTGGCCTTTGAGGACCATGGTGAGAAGCAGACAGGTCCAGTACACGTTACCTGCCCTTTTAGCATATTTTGTGCCCATGTGTAAGCTGGATACCTTTAGCAACTTGCTCGGTGAAACTCTGTGCTGGGTACATGAGTAGGAAATCAAGCTTCATCATTTCCAAAACCAAAAGCTACCGTTAAAAAAAACCAAACTACCAAAAGTGTATCACAGTGGTACTTTCTCTTGGAAACAGTTTGTTATCGCTGATTTCAGGACGGTGAAACGCTGCATAAATATCCCACATGTGATTTTCAACTCCCCTTCAAATTTTCCCATGAATGTGTGGCCCGTGTGGTGAGTTGGAGTCTACCAGGGAAGTGCTTGTTCTCATCAACCCCATCGCCCTGCTCCCCTCCAGCCCCCAGCCCAGAGTCCTGGGCCTTGCAGAGCACCTCTCACAGCGAAGAAATATTTTCAGCAGTACTTTGATTTGTCCAGGCTGTCACCATGCTTTTGCACTTCCATGAATTAACTCAAGAGTTTTGGACCCAGTTTCCAATCCCAATTTCATTGAGTTCCTGCAGGTCTGGAGCTGCCTCCCTTTGGCTCCCCCATCCCTTTTGGTAGGGCAGCACAGGGCCTTCAGAGAGGAGATATACAGGTAACACGCCTGGATTGATGTTGTGCACGTGGCCCTGGATGGGGAATAGTGCTGCTGGCATGCCCTGCCTAGTGCAAACATGGGCCACTGATGCTTCCTCACAAAGCACCACCCTTAACTCGCTCAGTCACCCTTCCCTCAGTTACCACCATGGGGAAGACTTTCATCTGCAGATCAAGAGTGGAAGCGCCCCAGAAAGCTTCAAGTCCCAGTGGTCAGAAACAACAGAGGCTGCCCGCTAACGGCAAGGCACGGCAGTTCCCTGCAGCACAGGGACGCACACAGCAGCTACCTGCCTTTCCTAATAAAAGGAAAGAAGAAACAGTCTTTGGACTTAACCTTTGTGATTTAAAAAAAAAAAAAGAAAAAAATCTTACTGGACTTGTGCCTGAGGGAGGACAGCAAGTTTCCCCCTGTACAGACTACTCCACTTCCACACTTTCTACTCAGCATGGAGCAGAGCTTTATTTTTTACCAATGCCATGCACGTAGTTCAGAGGCATATTTGAAGTGCAAAACCCACATTCCATGCTCAGGCATCCAGCAAACAGTTAATAAAAATCATCCCAGTATGGTTTAGAGCTTATGTGAAATAAGAGTAAAAAGTCTGACCTGTTTCCAATGGCTACAAAATTGTCCTGGGGAAGATAAAGATGAGATTACTTTTAAATATAGCTATTTTCTGTTAAGGGAACCCACGCATCAATCGTTCCTATCACACATCTCCAGAGAAAGCAACAGCCATCCCACACACTCCTCTGCTGCGGATTGCTCAGCACTTTGTCCCACGGTAATCTGTAGGAGAAACTCAACCCTCCTGTTAAACGCTTGGGGCTCAAAAGATTAATTCTGTGGGATAGATCTCTAAAGCACATCCGAAACTGGAACTCCCTCCTAACAGCTTATCACCATTCAGGCAGTTACGGGTGTGAGCAAACCAGCAGTTTTGAGGGAGGAAAGCGATCCTATTATAATCAGAATTCTTACAGACAGTTTTATATTTTATTGTTTAATACAGCTTTTTTTTTTTTTTCTCTCTCTCTCCACATAAAGCTTTCCATCAAAGGCTTTCCAAGCATTTTATGAAGGCAAGTGAATGTTACATCATCATCACTCCCATTTTACAAACAGGAAACTGAGGCCCCCAAAAAGCCATTTGAGCACTGTAAAACAGCAAATCCCAGCCCAAAACAGAAACAGAATCAAAACCTCCTGGCAAAAATCCCCTTCTCCAACTACCTCTGTTTAGTTGCTATGCAGCATTTTTTTTTTTTTTATAAAAATAACCCAACCAGTCAAACAAGAGAGAATGCCAAGGAAATTGCAAGCTTTGACATACTTACTTCCATACTGCTGGCATTAGTACAAAAATAAAGATTTTTATTAACTGGTTTACAAAAATAAAGTCTATTGAGTCACAGAGGATCTCATCAGGGGGGTTTATTTGACTTTGGAAGACAAAGCCTGTTTGAAACGTCTCTTTAGATCTTGCATGTTGGGAGATTTGGGCCGAGGGATGATGGATGACCGCCTCCTGTCTGTGCTGCCGGCGTGCTGTAGTTTGCTGACCTCCTTGCAAAGATACTGGAAAACATCGCAGACGCCTTGGGAGTCATCACTGGTGGAGATCTCCAAGAACAGGCTGCCCAGTTCATTTGCCAGCTGTAGTCCCTCTTTCGCCTGTACTTGCCTGGCGTGGAGGAGGTCTGCTTTGTTCCCCACGATAATGACGGGCGTCCTGGCATCTGGGTGGACCTTGCGTATGTGCTGGTAGAGAGGTTGGACTGACTGGTAGCTGCTGTAGTCTGTGATGGAGTAGACCAGGAGGAAGCCCTCTGCCCACTTCACACACCTGGACAGGGAGTCCGGCACCTGCACGCAGTCTTCCTGCACCTGCGGTACCACAGAGAGCACAAATTTGGCATCGGGTCATGAAAGGATGAAGCCTACATATCACAGCTAGCATGGTTAAACAGGTCTGAAGGGAAGCCCAAGCTCTGTCTTGGGAGACTAAGCCCAGTCCTGTAGGAATCTGGGGCCCGAAGCTCAGCCTTTAAGTGCCAGAGAAGAACCCATCAATCCGAAGCATCTCCCTTACCTGGATGCACCCTGGCGTGTCTTGGATCTGCACGGCAACCTGGTCCCCCTCCAGATGGACCAGCCTGGAGTAGAGGTTGCCTGGGGAGCAGAGA